TTTTTTTTTTGTGTGTGTGTGTGTGTTTTGTGTCAACTTTTTTCTTCGACTTTTTATTGTTCAAATGTTTCAATTCAATTCAGAGCTGTGTTCTAGTTTACACTTGTCTGTCAATTGTTGTTCTCTTTCAATTTGATAAAGTAACAAATCAGTGTACAAGATACTACCGATAAAAGTTGAATTGTTAAAAGTTAAATATTATTTCAAAATTAGAACTCACCTGTTGTTTATTGTCACTGGTAAGAATCTGATACAACTGCTGAACAAGGTTTCTTGTTGGATCTACTTTCACCATTTTTTCAGCGTGATGCCCCAACGTTTAAAGCTCGAGTTGGTTGTAATCAGTGTGAAGACTGTAGGATGCCTGACTGTCAAGTCTGTCTTGTATGCCTCGATAAAAAGTTATTATTTTTCTTGATATTTTACTTTGGTTGTAAAGGATCAGAATTTTTTTTTCGGCTTGATTAAGGTTGATGTTTTATTGAGTTTAATTAGTGAACCAATTGTGAGCATAATTTGTTGTACAAATTGATTACATCAAAATCTAGAACGGTTTTTCTACATCGTACAGTAGTTGGTTTAACTTAAAGAACAGTTGGTTTGGTATATGCAATTTTGATATAAAACTGGTTACTTAAAAAAACATTTTGAACGGTAACAAAATTGGATGATGATTATCCATATTTTTGTTGTTGTTCTCATACAGTTTGGTTCTTTTTTTTCTTTTTTTTTGCTCATTATTTGTTATCTATTTTATCTGTTCTTTTTTTTTTTTCAGGTTCTTTGATAATCGTTATATGACCGGTGCAATGTGTGCAAAAAAGCGTTGTAATAACGCCACGACAATTGAATTACCAGCAGCGCAGAATGCTGATATAAGACAGGTTAGGAAAAATTTAAAATAAATAACAGTAAAATGATGTTAGATGTATATTTTTTTAATATGAAACATTAACTTTACTTTTTTTGAGTTTTTTTCTTTTGTTATTTGATTAATATTCAAAAAGTGGAAAAAAATAGTGTTTAAAATTGAGCAGAATAAAAAATGTCTTTTATATAATGCGGTTTTTCATGAGTATTTTCTTTCAGTTTTTTGTTGTTCAAGTACATTTATCTGCACTTTTTTTTTTTCATTACATAGCTGTGTGCCTTTTTTTTAAAGCAAAGCAAAAAAAACTATAATCAGTGTTGACATTTGGAAAACAAAAAAAGAAACAACGATTGATACGGATGCTGTTTTGGTTACTTTTACTACTGTTTATTGTGTTGTTGCCGGTGTTGATGAAGGTGATGGTGATAGTGGAAGTGCTATGGTGGTGGTATGGTGGAGGTGTTGGTGGTTGTGTTGTTTACTATTGATACATTGGTAATTGAGTGGTGTGCCAACAAAAAAAAAAAGAAATAGCAATGACTTATTCGTAAACAAAATGGATTCAGAAAAATAAAAAACAGTTTTTCTTGTCACTGTTCTGTTCACTCTGAGTAGGTTAAAATTGTTGCTACAGCAGCAGCTGCTGTCGATGTTGCTGTTGTTGTTGCCTTTACAGTTCTGTTATCATAGAATCTGAAGCTATAGGAACACGACGGACAAAACGATGGCAAATGACGTCAAACATTAACAGTTGTATAAAACAATTTTTTTTTTTGTACAATGAATTTTGTTTTTCTAATTTCTAAAGAACAAAAAAGCAAAAAAGAAAAACCGGGCAACAGCATTTGGAAGGTGAAAATTAAGAGGTTGGAAGCAGGATGACGACAAATAATAAACGAATACAGTAGAATTCATCTAATTTTTTTCGTTGTCACTGAATAATAAACTGAGAAAAAAAATTTTCTTTTTTTTTTTTTTAATGTGTACATATTTAGTTATTTCAGAATGAACTTTTTTTTCTATAATGTTTACAGGGGGGGAAAAAAAATGAATAACAACAAGTGAACGAACAGAACAGCAGCTAATTTTATTTTGTATGTATTATCTAAGAAAGTTTTTTTTTCTAAGTTTAGTTTTTTTGTTTTTGTTTTTTTTTTTTTGGTTGAATTTACCTTTCTTTAGCTTCAAAATTTATTACTGTATAAAATAGATGCTTCAAAAAAAAAAAAAATAAAGAGGAGCTTTCCTAATATGGCAAAAAAATCTTACATATACAGTTAATCTGTTGGATACCCAAAGTAACAGTGCGAATTATACTGAGCCTATCGCAATGGAATGGACGGTTGGGTGGAGGAACGGTGGGTACGAAGGAAGGAAAGGATGATGGCAAATCATCCTTTCATACGTTTTGTTCTTTTTCTTCATCTTTCTTCAGAGCGTTTTTTTTC